AACGTCTACAGAACAACTTCTGCTATTATTCGAAACGGATATAGCGGCGTTGGTTTTTCCCAGAGACAGAGTTTTTCCACCAGATCGTCGGACATCAATGCGCAAGCGCACAAACGAGGGAGTTCCCCTTTTACATCGACAAAATTACGTGTTGTTTGAGTCGCGATCGCTCATTGGTTCGTGAGAGAATAAAATTTGCAAATACGTTCGTTCGTAATTCAGTGAATGTTGCGATATGATAATCTAGCACTTTATTCCACTCATGTAACATATACATGCTAACGTGCAAACAGGTTTCATTGTAGCTTGTGTCTATTTTAGATATTAAGAAGATGTCGCCATATGTAATTATATACTCGGCAAGAGCTATCCCGTCCCCTTGGCCTTTGATTTTTTTTGGACGATCACACTGTGAAGGAAAAAAAATCTTGGCCGACCATTAAACATCTGTTATTGTAAATTTTAACCATCTCAGTTGCCTCTTATCTATCATTGCTTTCGTCTAGCGAACGAAACCAATCTAGACATAACCCCCTCGTTCAATTTAATCAATCTTTATTCATGAATTCCACAGCAGCCACTTCAAAAGATACATGTCTGTACGTAAAGGCAAAGAAAGGGATGAAAACAAGACTTCAATTACTATATTGAAAGTCGCTGTTGCTTTGGAGAATACACATTTAAATAAAAATAGAATAAACAAATAAAATACTGTAATGGCACAGGAGGGAATGTTTATATAAAGTGTTTAGCTCCGATGCGATCCGAATGAATGTGCTCCCCCCACCCTGTGGATGATCCAGACCATAGGCGTAGATCCCGGGGGATGGGGGATATATCCCCCCCCCCCATTATTTGACAAGAGGACGGTCCATTGTATCATCCCCCCAATATTTTGACTATGTATGGGATAAAATGGAGATTTACACACTTCAAAAGACTGTCACATAAATAATTTGCACTGTATTATGCGCTTACAAAGATGAAAATTAGCATAATGTATTAATGTTGATAACAAAATTATTTTATTTGGTACCAATCTAAGCTCTTCTTTCCTTAGATGTTAGATGTACTTGCAAAGAGAGCCACATTTCACACTGAATGGTGTGTACGACATCAGTAATGTTATGGGGCAGTTTCCCCTGACCCCCGCGCCTGTTACATACCAATCATCCCCCCCCCCCCCAATCAAAAATATTTTTCTACGCCACTGATCCAGACTAATACCTGGTGGTCCGTTGAGAGGCCTGAATGAGCGGGGGGGGGGGCGCTTATGGAAATAGATGAAAATCGAGGGGTTCTTATGAGAACTTATTAAATTCAAGAGGCATATTTTGAATGAAAAACGATTATAAGGATATCAGGAAACCCCAAATTACGAATGGTGGTGCGGCGGAAACTTTCGTCCAAAGAGCATGGCTTGTCATGACAAGAAAGTTGTGAGTACAGTATTACATAACAGCAGAATAGCAGATGAAATTAGTGGTGGTGGTTAGCTTGTTGGCCATCTGCTGATTGAGATCAGCAGGATGGCATGATCATTGTATGTTTTCTTGAAAACTCAAATGAGAATGTGTTAGGTGTAAATTGTCGGAAAAGCAGTAGGACTAGGCTATAGACAAATGTTAGAAGATGAAAGTTGGAAATATACTGTCTGTCCAGGGAGCTCTCATCTGTCCAAGATAAATATCCTCACTTTGATATTGACTAAAGGAGAATGTGATTCCACTCCACACCTCAAATCATGTCAACATCCACAGTCCAGGATTGATTGAGTTATTGAGGGGCGTTTATTCAAATTAGAAGGGGGTGCTTGTTCAAACGGGGCGCTTAAGAAAATTTTCACGTTAGAAGGGGCGTTTATTCAAACGGGGCGCTTATTCGCGCGAGTACGGTATGATTACTCTTCGTAGGATTGAGGAGGTTGCACCAATCTAATGGATAAACTGGGTCAATAAACTAAACATGCATTGATTTTATCAGAATAAAATCATGCAAATTATAGGATTTTGAATCCAAGGCCTTGAGATGAATTTGAGCAACCTTCAAAATTAACATTTGGTTGAAGAAGACAATAATAACGGTAACAAATAAGGAATGAAGATAATAATAATAATAATAATAATAATAATAATAATAATAATAATAATAATAATAATAATAATAATAATAATAATAATAATAATAATAACATTTACAAAATGATCGGCCTATATAACTTGTACATACAGCGGCCTGTATGCCTATAGCCCCAGTGTAAGATAATTGCCGGGCCCTACTGAAGCACCAGAGGACCCAGAGAGGGAGGGGGAGGGCCTCAGCCCCACCATAGTTGGGGCGGAGGCGGGAACATTTTGAAAATATTGACCTCAAGGTGCCGGAATCTTACCGGTCATTTTTAGTGATAAAATAATATATCAACAATACAATACACCAATTATTTTTCTTAATACAATTTAGGGAGTACGATCGCACTGTCTGCAATCCGTCTGCAATCCATCTGCACCCCCAGTCAATCTTTCGTAAAGAAAATAATTTCAACTTACATTTCCACGGATATTTATTCTGCACATACGCCTATTGGTTTTTTTCCAATGATCAGATTTCGTAGGCCTAATTAATTTCACTCTCGCAACTAAAATAGACCTAGGCCTATGCGATTTCATTTTATATGCATAAATATCAAAGTTTCCAATTGATATTACTATTACTATAGCTGTATTACTGTATTTAAGGTGCTTATTACGGAATGACACTACGTATTTGTTTACCAATTTAACAGCGACCTAAGGATCGTCAACAACCAGATGAAACAACCACCACACCACAGATAAAGGACCTAGTCGATAATGAACATTCGTACCACCAGCAGTTAAATTTATAACAGCTCACGTTTAATTAGATTCCGTTTCCAAAATGGAGCTTGGGGTTTTCCAATTCCACTGTGTCCGTGATAATTAAGTTTGTGTGTGTGTGTGGGGGGGGGGATGTGGGGGTGGGGGGGGGGTGGGTGTGCGTGTGTGTCAGGGATTTGCCCGACGGGGAGTTGGGGGGGGGGCGATGCCCCGACGAGGGGTCAGATTTCCCCGACGAAACCAAAGAGGGCGTGGTCGAGCTTCGATTAAAAGGTTTCAAAACGTGGTCCCCAGACGAAGCCCCCGAAAATTTTGACAATTTAGGGGTTTCAAAGGCTTATTTAATCGATTTTAGAGTCTACTAGGCCTAATATGTAGAAAATACATATAATTTTTTTTCCCCGGCGAATCGTGCTTTTTCTCCCCGACGGGGGAGGGGGACGGGGGAAGCTCTCCCCGACGGGGAGAGCTCTCCCCGACGGGGAATTCCCCACCCCCGCTGGCGCCACCCCTGGTGTGTGTTTTTGTGTGTTTCATTTTATTATTCGTCTAATGTGTATTTGGTTGGGGAATTCCCAAAAACTTAGTTTGCACCCCACGCACCTCCATGCACGACGCGATCGACTGAAAAGTTACTGTGTAAAAACAACATAGTTACCAACCGTCTCGCATGGTGGGACGGTCTCTCATTTCAAAGTGGTTTTGGATGAAACACGCATTTTGCAGAAACATAATTATGCGTGATCATAAATTTGTCACGCATTTAGCAGAAGTCTATGCGTGATAACGAATTCAGGGGAAAATGTATTTAAAAATAGAAGAAATTGGTTTATTAAACTTAATATAAAATTTGAGTGTGTATCTTGTTTGCAAAAACTGATCGACTTTTCAGATAGGCCTATTTATATTAGGTCAAATGGGCTGAGATTTAACCCAAGCAAAACTAAACACCATTTAATGTTGCTCCTTCGTGGCATTTATTGGACTCTGAGCTAACATGTTCTGATGAATTTACGTACCTTGGCTTGAAATTTAACTCTGACCTTAAAGGCAAATATCATGTTAAAGAACGAATAAGCAAGTGTCAAAGAGCATTTTATGCTCTGCAAGGGGTGGGGTTATGTAAAAATGGTTGTAACGTTGACGTCAAAAAACAAGTCTGGAACTCTATAATGGTTCCAACCTTGAGCTATGGTTTAGAATCTATTAATTTGAAAAAGTCAGATATTCAGGAACTTGATGCGTTGCGGCAGTCTAAATTAATCAAGGCTGCCTTGGGGCTTCCAAAGTATTGCAGAAACAAACCGTTGTTACACGCTCTTAATATACCCCACATTAATGAAGTGATAAACAGTAAGCAAGTTAACCTACTATATCCCCAGACGAATGAACTCAATTCGACTTTTTAATCAATGTGCAATAAGAACAAGTATAGGCCTATCTAAATGATGTAGGCATCACTATTATTCCTTTTTGACTTTTATATATATATATATACAGTATATGAAGGCCTATGTGGGTATGTATGTATATATGTATGTATATGTATGTACAGTGTGTGTGTGTGTATGTATGTGTGTGTGTATATACATATATAAATGTGTGTGTGTATATATATATATATATATATATATATATATATATGTATATGTATGTGTGTGTATGTGTGCATGTATGTGTATGTAGGCCTATATGTATGTGATATGTGTATATATACTTACTTTTTAATCAACGTGCAATAAGAACTAGCATATCTAAATGATGTAGGTCTCATTATTATTCCTTTTTGATAATACAATTTCATGTGTGTGTCTATGTGTGTGTATATATGTGTGTATATATGTATGTATACATATATACATATGTGTGTGTATGTATATGTATGTATACATGTGCTGCGCACATGCATGGATACACATGTATCTATTTTTAATGCAATGTAAATCTTAATGTAACTTAATGTAACTTATTGTGAATTGAGTAGTGCTTTTTACGCCAAATGGAACTTGAATTTCCATTTTTATTTGGACAATAAAGTTCATCTTATCTTATCAACGAGTATATCAGATTTTCGTTAGTAATTCTAAATCAAGATGCTTTTATTCACATCTATTAAATGGTTCAAAGAAAGACACTGAGAACACGTTAATTAAAAAGGTTTAAACATTAATAAATCATCCATCTGTTCTATTTTGTTTAATAAGTTTCGATCCCAATTGTGTAAAGCTTTTAAATATGTTAATTGTGAGAATGATGCCTTTGTGACAGTGTTAAGTTTTTATTATTTTCAAATGAGATTGATGGTATTATTAATTTTTTTTAAAACCATTTTAATGTATTTTTGTGTATTTTAATTGCAATGATTTTGTGCTCTGCCAAGGGAGGTTAATAAAAGTTTGAATTTTGAATTTAAATTTGAATAAAGGTCATGCAGTAGCTTGAGTCAATAGGGAACTTTCGTTATCTCGTTCGAGAATTAATTCAGCAGGGAAAATTTCTCTTTCCCCACCAAAAAAACCCAGCCAATTACGCACTTAGTAGAATCTAGTCGCGTGCGGTCTTACGCGTTCATACCGTTGATGTGACCAGCCCACACCGGGGTTTCGCCCCTAGAAACCCAGACCCTGGCGTGGACATTTCCAAACACTATTTTCAAGGGGATTTGGTACCTCTTCATTTTTTGATCGAAATGTAATTTCATAAATCAAGAAGACGCCTCAAAATCGTTGGAATGAACTATATAATTGACCCATCCACGGAAAGAACATTCTGCAGGCAGTTGTACATCCTGTTAAATTAAAATCATTAAGTTACAATTACTCTCTGTAAATATTATAATTAATGCCATGAAACCAGTGATTATTAAAATGTTAAAAAGTTTCTGATAAAAGATAAAGAGGAATTTGTTAGGACTTAGGTTGTGATAGTGCACAGAATACCCAAAATGTTTACTGAGAATGAAGTATTTTGACAGACTTGTTAAACTAGAAGATCATAGGTGGCCTAGGCTACTATTTATTGCACTACGTACCTTAATGAGAACAATGTTAAACTTATATGGAAGTGGTTATATTAAGTTCACTCTTGTAAAGGGTGGTTTTGGTAATCTTTTATCTATGGATGCCCGTACCCCGCATAATCCAGCATGGTTTAACTCATTCAAAATTATAAATCGTCAAATGTACAATGATGAATGGTATGAAAAAGTATGCTTAAAGTAATCACTTTTGATTATGTTAAAATGAAGAAGGTAAATGGGCTGGAATACTACCTCCTTGATAAAGTAGATTTCAAAGGTGTTAACTTGAAATTCAAGACTTGATCTAACACACTCCAACTTGAAAACACAATTAGAAGATGGAATGAATTTAATTTAGGAAAATGTCAGCTACGTAGACCTATTGATAGAATTTGAAGATGTTAAGCATTTCTTATTTAATTGTCGCATGTTAGATAACGTACGATCAGAGGAATTTAATAATTGTAAAGACAAACTTACTGCAAATTATTTCATATTACTGTATTACTGTTTTATTTATTTTTGACAGCAAAACATAATGTACTGGACATACATAAAGAAACTTTGTTTATATTATGAAATGCCCACCATGTACAGATTATCAAATTCTCTGACATATATAGTCATGATGTGCCTAAATATAGTCATGATGTGCCTAAATATAGTCATGATGTGTCTATATATAGTCATGATGTGTCTATATATAGTCATGATGTGTCTATATATAGTCATGATGTGTCTATATATGGTCATGATGTGATGTCATCATGACCATATTTAGGCATTTCACATGTTTTTGTCCAATAAAACTTGATAGTCTGGATATAAAGGACATTATTATTACACAAATAACTAATCTGTCTAAATCATATCTATAATGAAATAAATCATAACACAGGCACACATATGTTAATGAGGTCAATATTGCTGACCTCCATGAATATTCATGACCTCAACCATGATATCAATACCAGTATATTTTTATATAAATCTACTGAACATTCTTGCAATTCATTTAATTGAATTGTTCTTGTTAACTATCTACATGGAATTAAATTTATTTTAAATTCTATTGAAACATTAAAATAATAACAAGATTTCATGGAAATACTCTAATGCTTCATGACACAACTCATGATTAATCTGTGTCGCTAACTAGCGAAACCTTGACGAAATAAAAAACGTTAACTTACATTAACGTTTCACTATCTCATATCCTAGGATCATTCAAAAGAAAATTCAACAGCCTCTATATTTTAGTCTTTTTGTATGGCTATTTCAATATATTAATATCAAAATAGTATGTTAATATAACATATTTTTAATTTTTTTGTGTTCTATAATAATTTTTCTGTCACAAAGTCTTGCATTTAAATGTGTAGACAAAATAAATGAAAATAATTTACAACCCTTTAGAATGAGCCCACTGCTGTTCTGCTAATTTAACTGGTTCCCTGCTTGAATTGTCACCAGCTTGATTTGGTCCCCTGTTCCATATAATGGTTCTCAGCTATCTCTATTTGCTCCATGTCCCCCTTCTGCTCTGCTCTTTCTTCTAATTTCCTCTTCCCCAGTTAAAATTTAATTGCATTTTATTCTTACATAATAATTGCAGGCTCAGGGACAGAAGCACCGATGGATTTGTGAGGTAGAATGCGGCCGCCATTAATGTAAAGCTCATCTTTAACAATTACATCTTCACCTAATACAGACACATTCTCCATTCTCACCTTAAAAAGAAAAAATAAAATTTAATTTGAAAAAAAAAAGTGAGATTAAAGATCCAGGAAAAGAATTATTTAGGGACAGGTCCTGAATTTTCCAAAAGGGGGAACAACATTTTCAGAATACACAGCATTGATATGTAATGGAATTTTAAAATTTAGTGGAAAACCGAAGGGGGAAGCACGTGCCACCCGTGCCCCCTTACTGGATCTGCGTCTGTTAGTTACTAGTGGTAAATGCTTCTATATTGTTTATAAGCATAAGTTTCTGAGAGGAAATGTTAGTTACTTTAGATGACGCGCTGTGTGATGGGTCTCAGACACAGCTTCAATATACTTAAACTTACCCATTGGCCAACAGTACATTTCCAGCCTATAATGGAAGACTCAATCCATGAATGTGATTTAATTGTTGTTCCTTTTAGTATGGTACTCCTCTTGATGCATACCCCATCCTCGATCGTCACATCAGGCCCTATCACAACATTTGGACCTATTCGGCAGTTCTTGCTTATCTTTGCAGATGGATCCTAGAGTATCAGGCCAAGCAAATACGAATGAATCATTATTTATTTAACCACTTAAATAGCAGACACAAACTGGAAACTTGAAAAGAATGATATAAAAGTACACAAGGCCAAAAAAAAGCATGATAAATATTAGCTAAGCACATTTAGGACACTGCAGGAGGAAGTACGCATTTTTTTTCTAATAGAAAATACCTAAATCTGATTGGCCTTTTAAATAGACTTTGTCATCACATCGTAACCATATATAGGCACATCATGACTATATATGGGCATAAAACAGTTCTTGTCAAAGAAAATATGATAACCTAGACAGAGCTTTAGAAAAGGCATATCACATATCTTCATTTCATAGGTGTATACTGTATTTGGTATTAAATGCTCCACAGAAATTAGACATGTCCCATTTCTGCAAGCTCCTTTCTGGATTATGAACAACTGCAACACACACAATTTTGTTTTGTCAAATTAACAAGTTCACCTACCACTAGAACGCTTCCAACAGCCCCATCTCCTTGGTAGAGCTCTTCGGGTGACATGTGCTTCTTGTGATTCAAATACATGCACATACCTGTGAGGAAGTCCTTCGGTTGCCCTACATCCATCCAATAACCTGTGTATACACATAAGGTATTTTGTTGAAAATGCTGACTCTCAATTTCGAACATTTTGGGTCGGTTGGGCGTGGCCAACACAATAATTTTTTTTATTTGGCCTTATTAACAGTATTTTGTTGTGTTGTTGATTTTTAAAAGTATTCCACACATCAAAAATAATCTTGGTAGTTTATAAGTTAGGTACTTATCTAGATGAACAGACACAGCATATTGTTGTAACAGTATCTTTTTTAGATATTTTGCTAAAAATCTAGTCAAGCGTCCTGATGAACAGATATATCCTTGGCCTAACTGTAAGAGGTAGTCCACACCTTGAGAGCTAAAGACTGTTTCAGTATAAAGCGCTATATAAATCTAACTACATTACATTACATTCTGACTGTTGTCATTTGACAAATTGTTTGACACTCGACAGTCAGGAGAAACCCTAAATGCTAGGGTACACCATCAATGTTTTATGAAAATAGGTGCTAGCATCCTATTGGCTAAATATCTATTGCTTAGTTGAAGCATATTGAGTAATGGACTATTAATTGCATATTTGTAGACTTAGAATAATTGAATACAATACCATCTAATTCAAATGCATAGAGTTGAGAGTCAGCTGCCATCGCAGGGAAAATTTCTTTTTCGATTGATGTAGGTTTTAACTAAATATGAAAATAAGCATAAGCATGTTTAACTGATCACACTCTGCTTCATTGTACTTAACAATATTGGATATAAAATGTATGATAATAGTGCAAAATTTCTGTATTTCAGTAGACCTATGGGAAAAAAATAATTTCCACATGTGGGTTTGAAAAGGTCACACTTACCAACTAATAAATAAAAATAGAATGTTATTTAAATAATTATTATTCAATAAAACCACTATACCTGTATCCTTTCCAATATAGCAGGACTAAAAATATACATGCCAGCGTTAATTCGATTTGAGACAAACACTTGTGGCTTTTCAACAAAACTCTCAATTTTACCATTCGTTGAATCATAAACTACAACACCATACTTGGATGGCTCTTCCACCTTTGTTACCTACAAGAAACATAAACTGTTATCAATTATGAGTAACAGAGAGAAGCAATGAAGAAATGCATGGACAAGATCATTGCCCTTGGATAGCTCTTGCACCTTTATTACTGAAAAATACAGTACAAGAATTAAAATGTAGCAACAGATAAGATAGGTAAGACAGTATAATACATACTCCAAGTACCGAAATCATCATGCAGTGTGATGACATAATTAATGTCAAAATATTGAATATTGACATAATTAATGTCAAAATATTGAATCCCGACATGATGGCGTGCATTTCGATACTTGGAGTATGTATTATACTATCTTATCTGAGATTAATCAGTGGACATTTCGGTTAGATAAGAGAGGAATGGCTAGGCCAGATGCCAACACTATTGGAGCACCTGAGAATCATGTGCTGATCACTGTTTGTCGGTGGTGTCAAATTGCAGTTGAATGGTGCGATAGTGTTAGTTCTTTTGCGTTAGTATGTTTCGGTTATTTATTATAGCTTGGTTAGCTTAGTTGATCTACTAGAAAAGATTTTGCTTTTTTGATTGCATAGAGACCATATGTATGCGAAAATATAAGTCTCCAACCATTACCATTGTAAACGATAAGACATGGATTACATACCACAATTGTTCCTTCCTTCCCATGATTACGATGAAATTCTATCATTTGTTTGAAGGGGAATACACAACTAATATCACTATTCAAAACAAAAAATGGCTCTCCATCTGCTTCTAGGATCTTTCTTGCTAAGGCTAATGGGCCAGCTGGAAAATATAAATAATGTGCACATTTTGTAAAAACTCTACCTGGAGATTGGAAATAAGTCTCAGTTTTTAGCGCTCCCTCTGGGAGCATAGTGCTCAAGGTAAATCCCAAGCCTACTTGAAGGTTGACGGTTTACAAACAGTTACAAATGTAATTTGGTATAAAAAGAGTCATGTGCGCCAGACTTAAATACCACATTCCAAAAAAATATCACACCTGTTCCTAATGGTTCTTCTTCATGTGATGTTGTTATTTTGATACCAAGCTGCAAAAAAACAAAAAAAAACAAATGTAAGTGAAACTGGCAAACTAGTCATTCTAGTGTAGAGAACTGAAAATAGGGTGTGACTACAGCTGGATGGTTAAGATCTTTGTCTACAATGGTCCTGAGTTCAAATCTTAATGAACACCATGATTTCATTCATATAACAACCCCACTGGACCTTAAAATGAGGCTACACATAGAATTAATAGGCTACTATGAAATATTTTAAAATTTGTGTCTCTAATTTGAAAAAGTTTTTTTTTTTGGTAGTAAAATAAATCCCCTTTTTTGTCTAATGTGGGACCTAATCTTACTGAGCCCTGGGAGATCTTTTTCACCTTCTTAAGAAGCATTGGTGTCCAAATTTAGAGCTACAGGTACACATGTTTTCAAAAGCCATTCTTTCACACAGAGACATGCACCTGGTTAATATAAATACCTTTTCTTCTTGTGTCTTTAATTCTTTCTCCAGCATCTCTGCTCGATAACTAACGGCAAGGACAATTTCTTTAACTCCTACCTGGAATTTAAAAGTTTTAAAAATTTGTTGTATAGGACTTAATCTTGGACCAATAAAGGAGGCGATGTGGCTCAGCAGTTTACATACTCTTTACTCAGTGGTAATAGTATAGTACAGTGTATGATTTTTTATTTATGGTAGATTACATAATACTGTGATTTAGTGGCAAATAAATGCTTATTCACTATTGCACCAGGTTATTCATGGACCATATTGTACCATGACTTTTATCTACATTTAGATAAAGTGCCTTACCCATTTTCACTTGGGTGTGTTAAGTGGTTACCTGGTGGTGTATGGAAGTTTGTGAAATAAATATTGACCTCTATAGAATATCTGACATAATTATAAATATTAAGGCCAAATCAAAATAATAATAATTATATAAATTATTAATATTATAATATAAAGAAACTAAATATAACTTACATTTGCTAATGCTTCAATCTGATGAAGCAGCATAGATTTGTTGCAGAATTCAATAAGTGGTTTCGGACAGCTAAGGGTCAGCGGTCGTAAACGCGTCCCAAACCCTCCAACTAGAATTAAGGCTTTCATGGTGTCTGTAGGGTGATACAATCTGAAAAATATATGGTTTGAATTATTCAAATATTTACTGCAAATATTGTTTTCATATTAATGTAAAAATGGTAAGGCCTTAGAAAATATATTATTAGTTTATCACCCTATCTAGGCAGGAAAAATGATGAAGGAGGGAGGCTTTTTTAAAATTTTATATTTTGCTAAAAACAAATATCACCCTTGGGTTGTTTGCTGATACTGATATTCAAAGTAAAACATGATTGAGATAATACAAACAATGGCCATATTCGACTGGTCGTTCTTCGTTAAACCACGCCCACCTGCGCAGTAGTAAAATCCTACTTAACGAAGACGACCAGTCGAATAGAAAACTGGTAAATACTCGACAAAACAAAATGGCTGCATAGTTACCACGATAGTACGCTGCGTAATCAAGGCTGCTTCAGATTGTGGCAGTATAGGTTTTTTCGTAAAAAAATGTTTTCATCCAGTTTTTGAATTCTGTTGGCCTACAATTATTTTTTGACTTCAATGTGGGTAAATATTGTAATTTTTATTTTCTGAAACACAAATGTTGTTGCTAAACCGACCAATCGGCCATAGTTTTTTTGGTCATGTGAATAACTTAACGCTGATTAATGCATTCTGGTTACGTTAATTTTTGCTGTCAACGAAGTCTATTTTAAAAACCAGTCGAATGAAAATAATACTTAACAAAAATTTTACCAGGCGAATAAGCCAATTATCTATTTAATTAAAAAAAATAAGAAAAAAAAATTACTTTCAAAAATCAATTTTTTTTTTCAGTACCATAAAAGACATATGCGCTACTAGGGTGATAAACTAATAAATTTTTTTTTATTGGGCCTAACAAATGCAGCATAAAATAAATATAAATTTCATATTATGGATGATGACTAGTTCCCCACCCTCCAAAAAGTAGGGCTTGTGCACATATGGATTCCCTGTGTGCTAAAAGTTAGGCCTAAAAATAGAAAAAAATGTGTCAGCGCATTTTAAAAACAAGGGCCAATTTCTGTGCAAATTGAAATTGTATTTCACTTTTTTCTGAGAATATCTTTAAATAGGCCAAAACTCTAACCCTATCGCCGAGTCACAATTACATTATTCCAAAGCAGAAGTCTACATAAGATAGACTGACATTTTATCGGGAATTGGGAATTGCTAAACAAGATAGGCCTCGCTTAGCTGTTCATGAGGTGGAGGACAGTTGGGAAGGAGGAGCTAAGATAAGATAGGATGCTAAACATTCATTTGACATGGCCGGGTCTGAGCCAAAAAAAGACCTAGGCCCTTGGAGGAATGATGAGGCCTAGCCTGCTGCCTCTCTGTCATCTGTCTCTGTGCATAAAGAGTCAGACAAACGTCTCATTCATCGTGTTCATAATACAATAAAGTAATTAATCATGCAATCAGTCTAATGTAAAATAATATGAACATACCTTACTTTTTACGGGTTCTGAGATAGCCTAGGTAACCGAACGCCACGTACTCATCAGTTGATCGGGTCAGCGAGCCAAAGTTTGTTTAATCTAGCATTTCTTCATACATGGCAGGGACAACAATGGTTACACGTGATAACGATTGACCCATGACCTTATATCTTGGACTGAGTTCGATCGGTTCGAATTACTTACGCGTCTTATTAATAAATTTATAATTTAAATTATTAGCTTCAGATTCTACCATTTGGTAAATAATTAATTTATGGTGATTTAAAATGCTAAAAATTAATATTGACAACAAATATTTACTAAAATGCATTTCACAATTAAAACAGGATTCGTAATTTAAACCAAAGTTTTGTGTGGAAATAGCAGTTAATCGAATACGGATACAAAGATACAAATGGCAGAGAGCGTCTGCTCCCAAAATTCTTGACACATTATTTATTATTAAAATATAATACAAAACATAACAAATTAATAAAATTGCAAGTATTAGATATTAAAAAATATCATATTGATTTAAATAATTATATAATATATTTTTAAAAAATAAATATATTTTGTTGTGTTTACTTAAAAATTCCATCTTATCTGATTTAAGTTGGTGTGAAAGGTCTATGATGTTTTTCCCAATAGGGCGATGGATGGGCCGAAACGCCTGACTTCTGACTGGCCAAAAGTTTAAAGACGTGCATTTTCGTTAGGGTCTTATTTAAATCTGAGACTGAAGTCACTTATTATGGCTTTAATATGTAGTATTCAAAGCAAAACTGCCACTATACAGCGAAGTTCAATATTGGTTTTGAATTATCTGCGAAACAACAACAGCAGAAGTGGCAGTGGAGTGTTCCAGCAACATTGCTCCTTCTTGAGTAGCCAAGAAGTAACTACATTAGCCTATTTGGCCTAGGCTAGGCCTACTTGTTTCTTATTTTATTAGTACTAGGGCCTAGAAGGCATAGATAGCTAGGGTAGTCCAGCGAGGTGATTATTATTAATTGCTAAAAGGCCTCAAGTTTAAATGAGATTTTTGTAGTTGTCTGGGGCTAGGAATGCATTTTCATTTAAGCTGCTCCCATCTGTAAATTTTTACTAGGCTAGCTAGGGCTTAGAATGTTAAATTTGAGTGAATGAATTTTCTTATTCTGTAGGTATTTTTAAAGAAAACACCACTTCATGACTTTCATGTGGCACACGGTGCTAAGATGGTAGACTTTGCTGGATGGTCTATGCCGGTTCAGTACAAAGATGGTCTGATAGCGGAGCACCATCAGTGCCGCAACGATGCAGCCCTGTTTGATGTTTCCCATATGCTGCAAAGTAGAGTTCTTGGAAAAGACAGAATTAGGTTCATGGAAAGTTTAATAGTAGGTAGGTTTTGTGAAATTCAGAAATATTTATGGAAAAACAAATAAAAAAATCTAAAAACCTGAATGCCAGATAAGAAAAGTCTTTTTGTTAATTATTAATACTATTTATAGTGACCTAATAATTCAGTTATGAAAGCAGTTTAACTCATTCGACCAAGTTAAACTGGTGGTAGCCACTATGGGTGCACTGAACCATAGAGATATATTAACTGTTGTACCCGATTCAATTCCATCCATAGCTGTAGTGAAAACTGTTTCCCAGAATGCCCAGTTACCACCGGAAAAACCTCACTGGAAAGAAGTATTTCATGGATTCTCCTTCATGTTCACATCAAATAAATCCAATAGTAATGCTACCACGGCTACTGAGTACTATCGCCACAGCAACTACCACTACTATTATTTTATTTGCAGGTGACATTGAAAGCCTTGTTGAGGACAGTGGCACTTTAAGTGTATTAACCAATGAGAATGGAGGTATCATAGATGATCTTATAGTTAGTAAGGTGTCTGGTGACAACCTGTATGTTGTACTTAATGCAGGTTGTGCGGATAAGGACAGAGTGCACATAGAGGTAGGTGGTTGGCTATCCTGGACGAATGCAATGCAAACGAACAAAAATTAAGGTTATAATATCACAAATATACGTATATGAGGGTTGCCATCCTAAAAACCAGGATCACTGACCAAAAATGAAAATCGACTTTTTAGTACAATTCTTATTCTTCTTCTTTATTGTATACGCAAAAAACAAACAAATGATATACAATAGGAACCAAGAAATAGACAAGTCTAATCGAGCTTGGCCCCTTTCTTAACTATCCCCCTCAGCCCCAATAAATAAAATAGAATAAAATAAATATATAAATAAAATAATGAAAATAAATAAATAGGCATCAATCTTCATACTCGGAATAAAGTAATTTTTCAGTTTTGAAACAAATACATGATTGATATGGCTAAATTATATTCGTAATTAAACCTTGTTGCATAACTATGACAAATATTTTCAAATAATCAGATAAACTATGTGGTAATCTGTTATTAAATAAGTCTGATATAAAATTCAAAATATATCATTTATGAAGCTTAAATATGTCTAAAATGTTAAGTTTCTCCACCTTATAAGCTTAAAATGTTGTGTCAATTACTGGAATCGACTTACTACTTCCAAAGCTGAGTAAAAGTATTACATCTTCTCTGTACTGAAGTATACAATACTGACACATTCTAATGCTTATTACAATTCGTGACAATACGTTGGTTTTGGGAAGGCAAGCCTCTTATACTTAACCAATATAATCAACCTTTTTTCTAGGCAAAATTAGAAGAGTTCCGATCAACTGGAGGGGATGTAAACTTTGAGACGATTCCCAATCGATCACTCTTAGCATTACAAGGTAATGGTATTAAACCATTTTTGGTAAATTGGCTAAAAATATGATGAACATTTCTGATTGAAGCTGAATATTTAAACCATAAATGAAGTGGGTGACTCCAATGCCAATGTTAAGTCTGTAGTGAGCGCACCCCTGCCTTACCTCTTAGTCCTTTGACTTGCCCCAAACTGATTAATTTGCACTATGAAAGAAATGTTCTTTATTATCTCAATTCAGCAAAATGTGCAACCCGACACAGGATCACTGATTTTGATGTCTGGTTTTTTTTTTTTCTATAAAGGACCCAGCATGGCTAAAGTTTTACAGGCAGGGGTGACATATGACCTTTCCACTTTAACATTCATGAAGACCGCGGTAATGAGTGTATTTGGTATTCCTGATTGCCGGGTAACAAGATGTGGATATACAGGAGAAGATGGAGTTGAGGTGATATTAATTATTCATTTTTAATGTTAATTATAAACCATACTGTATATATATATTTGGAATCACTTTTGTATATTTTATTTGAACATATTCAGTGCACCTTTTGGTTTTTGATAAGGTACTTATGTATAAACAATGACAAACCTGAAAAGGATATTTTACCTTTTAAATCTGAATGTTATTTGTAGATTTTTATGTGCACTTGAATATTGAATGTGATATTGATTTTAATTTTATACATTTGAAATACCGTATATCTTACACAATGGACCTTTCAGCTAATCCTTCGTCGTTTTTGTCCCACAAAAATACAGCGTAAATGTACATAAACATGTACGTTTGTGGGACAGGTTGTTCAGTTTAACACTCCAGAATTTGCTAATATGGTTTTGAGTAAATTTAATTGAAATATTGAATCCAAATTTAAACATGCAATTTTAAATGAACATTCACCTTGTAGATATCCGTCCCCGATGACAAAGCTGTACAGTTGGCAGAGACCCTCTTGAATTCAGGCGAAGGGGATGTGAAGCTAGCTGGTCTTGGGGCAAGGGATAGTCTCAGATTAGAGGCTGGTCTCTGTCTCTACGGTAACGATATTGATAAGAAAACCAGTCCGGTAGAAGCTACATTGGCGTGGACAATAGGTACTATAGTATTACTAAATCTTCCATTTTGAAAAAGGTCTATGAGTGTTTCTCTATTTTATGTAAGTCTTACTCTGTTCAATTCCTATTGCCCCTACTCCAATTTCAGGTAAGAGGCGAAGACAAGAAGCCAACTTTCCAGGTGCTGAGATCATTCTGAAGCAGTTAAAAGAAAAGCCAAGCCGTAAGAGAGTTGGGGTGATATCAAATGGAGCACCAGCCAGGGGTAAGTTAATTACTTAATATAAGCTTATCTTGTAGGCTTTCTTTTATTCAGTAATTCAGTATCATGCATTTTCGTGGGAATTATTCAACACAGATCATTACAATGCATATCCAGTAAGCATGAGGGTGCAATTTATTCAATTCAAACACAGTAAAATATATGGTTTGAAATTCTGGTCATTTGTTCAGATTAAAAATAAAAATAGGCCTATAATTAATTCAATTCACTGATTCAATTATTTTCTTTTTTACAGCTGGGACACCAATTCTAAATGAGGGAGGTGAGCAAGTTGGCCAGTTGACCAGTGGTTGCCCATCTCCAACGCTTAAGTGCAATGTTGCAATGGGTTACATAGAAACTAAGTATGCCAAAAACGGCACCCAAGTCAAGCTACAAGTACGCAAGAAACAGGTGGAAGCAAAGATCAGTAAGATGCCATTTGTACCTGCTAAATACTACACTGGAAAATAAAAGCAGAGAAAAAGCAGATATATTATTTAGCAGAGATATTGATTTATAACAAAACAAAGCTAGCAGTTATTTTGCGTTATAAGTACAGCATGGTTGGGCAAAATGGATTGAAGATAGTCATACCATGTTTGGTATTCTTAAGCTTGTAGATATAAAAATAATGCAATTAGTAGGCCCATAATGGATGTGTCAGAACTAGTTTGTACACATGGTCCATCAAATCAGTGGTGTTGCCAGAAGTTTCCCAGTAAGACTAAGCTTTCCAACGGTGTCCTACTGGGTCTAGGGGTAAATCCCTGGTCACCCTTGGGGATAATCCTCCTGGCGGTTATAAAAGTTTCCCCCATTTTTGGTCACAGTGGCTTAATCTCCCTGCCCCCCTTGATGGTACGGCCACTGTGTGTTACATGACAACCAATCACACGATCAAAAACTCATTTAAGAAAAAAAAAGGATTTATTAAAAGTGCAAACCAATTCACAAAAAACGTGGTCACAACAGAGCTGCTGTAATCATTGTTTATATTGTTTTGTCTGTTAGTAGTGAGAATCCAAATACTGTAATGTTGAACACACTGGATTGTTTATTTTTTGCTGTTAAATAATTACAATTTTATAAAATGAAAATAAAATATGAATACCTGTAATTAGTAAATTTTATCCATTATTTCTCCTGTCAGCATTCCATTATTCAATATATAATACAGTACAAGGTTTCAATCTTTCACACTGTATTTGGCCTGTCTCCTTGAGCAAGACACTTTGTCTACATTGTTTCAGTCTACCCAGCTGTATCAATGGGTACCAACAAATTGCTGGAAGTAATCTGCAGTGGACTAGCGTTCCACCTATGGGGAGCATCACGCTAATTGAAACTGGTGATAAGCTCCAGCCCTTATAAGCCTGGTGGCTTTGCAAGCTATAAATTGGTTTACAGTATATAATACAATATATTCTACTACTGTACATGGTTTACAGTACTGTACTTTGGTAAAGTATGCATAGAAGCGGTTGGCGCAGCGGTTGTGCAAGATCTAGAATGTAATAATGTCATATGAGGTCATCTACACATGCAAGGATGTGGAGTTTGTGTTGTCATCTGATTTCTAGGATGCAGATTGCCGTGAATCTACGTTTTACAGAGAACGTAGGACGGGCTCAGGTCATCAGACAAATCAAAATCACTTATTCATTCTTTATTCAGCCAGTAACATAAACAATTGAATGCAAAACAAAAATATAATTTAACAAATACTTGAGACAATAAATAACCTAAGTTGGCTAGGATTAACTTAGCCAACTTAGGTTATTTAAGTATTTGTTAAGTTTAATTCTTTTTTAACCTTTCCACCAGCTACTCCCCTTTCTTTTAGCTCTGTTCACACTGTATGCCCATATTTGGATGTAATATGACATCATCATGTCCATATATGGGCACATTATACACATTTGTCACATAAATTTTGATAGTGTGGAATGAGCTTCAAACAATTTGCAATTAATGAAACACATGGAAGTTATTTTATAATCTCAATCATTTTATTCATCAGTGTCTAGTATGTATGAGCCCATTTATCACTCCAAAATATATTCATAAATCAACTAAAATTAATAACTGTAAATCGATTGTTAATGCCAACGAGTGACTTGAAGTTCTTCATAAAGTCAAGTAGCAATCCGCACAATATTATGTTAGCAATAACATTAAAGATACTTTCTAATGATCAGAACACATCAAACATTAAGTTTTAAGCTATCAAAAATAAAATAGCAGATAAGCTATAGGGATGGAATGAAGCACTGATAATAGTAAACACTTAAAATGATGATTTAACTATAGTATACTTTACATAGGATAAAATATAATAAGTAAACTATTTTTATTTACTGGTGGAATCGATGAGATCGATATAATGAAAACATTATATTATTACATTATCTTACTAATGCCACACATCAGTTAGTAAACAAACTTCCTCTAACCAATCGACCAAGCAGATTAAAATATATAATTACATCATTTTAAATTTCGATCATGATAATAAATAACATTTTAATGAATAATTACATAATGTACGAGATCCTAACACATGTTGATTATTTTTTGCATATTCTGCAAATAAAATATCTTTTAACAAATGTTTTTTCAATATTCTGATCACACATAATTCACAGGGAATGAATATAAAATGGATACCACTGGAAAATGGAAGAACATTTTAAGTGCTAACATATACAGTATCATAAGCAGTCTTAAACTGAGGTCAAATCTTCTTAGCATACACTTTTAATTTTGACTCATTTTGGTCAGCAGACTGATATACTGTGCAGTTACAAATTGTAGCATTGTTTACTCCAGGAAGATATAAAAAAGGGAAAGTCACTTCAGCCAATTGAGATGATCAGTTATATAAAATTGTCAAGTTTCTTTGGTGTTTCATCAACATATATATATCCACACAAAAAAATCTAAATAAATATAGGATTAAAATAAAAATTCAGATATTATTTCCAAGTTAAAAAGAAAAACACTTAAGTGAAATGCTATTCATTTTGTTATTCAACTGATGAGAGCCGTTGCTTTAGCAGGTTAATAGAGGGCGCCAAAATAAATCATTCAGTTACTAATACCAGAGCTGATTGAGAATTTCAGTAGTTAATAGGTCCAATCCTAATAAACTGAACTAAAAATAATGAATACACAAATGATGATGGCATCTTTACTAACACATCAAACTGACTGAATAAAGTTTTTTTTTTTTTTTAAACTATTTACAATAAATCATAGCAACAACACAAAGCAATATGTATAATAATGCTGACAAATATTTAAAACAATAATAAATAATACATTTCTGCTCATATCGAAATTAATGAAGAAGACTTTTGCTTTCATATTTCAATAAAGGTACACACACATTAAGCAAAATAGAGTATTTACACGATTGAATCACATTTATACTTCTTTATATTACATAGGAATCTTTATATTACACCATATACATTATCAATATCGTTTGGTAACTATACATGTTTTGAAATAACAAATAATAATTATCTTGTGTTTACTTCAAATAATCTTGGCTGACTTATAACCTGTTTAAAGGCAAATAAAAAACCAAATAATACTACAACCACTGTTAATTTGTACAGTATTCTTTATTTCTTAACATAATTTAATAAATAATTATTATTATCAAGAATAATGTAAATTATAAAATGCTCTAAAAATATCTAAAAAATTGCTGATAATATAAAATAGGGTTAAAAATTGTTAAAAAAAACAAACAAAAGTTGGTCCATAATGCATAAAATATATTTTAAAATTATGCTAATTACAAATGTTTGGAAACGACTTGAATATAACAAAATTATTAAAAGGTTTGTAAAACTGTTATTGGAAATGGAATGAATACTTAATTTAAATATGGTGGAATAGGAATAATGTGAGAACTGGAATGGTAGACAGTCCTGTCAATCAATCAATCAAATCAATGGAATTCAAGATGATGGATGCGCATTAAATATCAATATCAATGAATACTATTCAACAAATAAAGCCCCATCCAGACTATATATAGTCATGATGTGCCTATATATGGTCATGATGTGATGTCATCATGACTACTTACATGTTTTTATCAAATAAAATTGGATGGGCTGGACAGGGCATAAGGTTAAAAGTTCACAGCCTCAAATTAAGTGAATTCTGAGTATCTTTCAGCCAAGGCACAGTATATCTATTCCAATGTGGTAGCACTGGATCATAACATCAGTGGCATAACTAGTGGGTGCAACCTCCACCCCAACAAAAAATGTCACCCCCTATTGAAAATGTTCAAAGCCAAAAAATTACGCTCAAGTAAAATAGTAAAATCATTTTTTTTGCGAGCTATCACACCTTCACTTAATCATCGAGCCCCTTGAACCCCACTCCCCATTTCAAGACTTCTAGATACACCGCTGCCTATTACAACAAGAAATAACTCCTTACAAACCCGAGAAAAATTTAGTTATTTTTAACTTGGATTTTATCCTAACATATTCAAAATTTGAAACAGTTTTTGATACAAAATTGAATAAATTACCAAAAAATTGTGATAAGCTTAACAATTTTACTAAGGAACATTAAGTACCTAAATAGGAATGTCTTCATTTTAGCCTGACCAACTTTGCATAGTGGTTCTTAACTTTCAACAAACTATGGTACTAGAAGAATGCAATGCAATAAGAATTAAACGCATTGTAAAGCACTAACTGTAGTGGTAGAGATTTAGTGTCCCAAATCGGGTATAAATCAGATATTCTTGTCAGTGTATGATCAGACTAAGTATTATGAAGTAGAGTGTGGAAAGACATACAATTTACCTGACTAATGTCTGAAACAAGTATCATCAAAGTCTGATAAACATTGAATCTGATATCTATATCTGATAGTTTATGGCCAGCGTAGACCTTAAGCCCTGTCCAGACTATCAAATTTTAATTATAAAAAAATGTGACATTACTAAATATAGTCACTGATGACATCACATCATGACCATATATAGGCACACTGTGACTATATATGGGCATACAACAGTTTTTTTTAAAGAAAATTTTGATAGTATAGACTGAGCTTTAAGGGCTGTCCTCTCTATAAACTTTTGTGTGACCTACATATGATTTGACATTATCATACACATTTGTCACCAAATATTGACAGTGTGGACACAGCATTAGACAGTAAAATTTGAGGTAATAAATACAATACTGTAAATGGCAGGACCTATATAGGAAAATAGATGCCAAGAATGATTAAAATCAATTACCTTCCTAGAAAGAATTCTAGTGTACAAATGAAATATACCAGGCTTACAATTCAGTCACAATATCACTATTAAGTATTCCAATATGTGTCTATATATTATTTTATATATTTAAGAAGATAAAAGTTCATTTATGTATTATTTTATCAAGCATCAAAAAGCTTCATTGCAATTGATTCTTCAAGATGATTATGAGTTTCCTGTGTATTATTCTAAATAGTTACTTAAGGCTTGATTAATGCTCTTGTGTCTTAAGGAGTCTTATAGTATTTGCAATCATGATGTTTTGTTTGACAAGAAGATTTATGCGCTATTATGAGGATGATGCCATGAACCTTTGATGAACCACCTCAAGAAATTATGCATTTTTTCTTACGAGAGGCTTTCCTGCTGGGTAATGACCTCGACTGAAGAGATTTTGATCGCTGTCTGGAGGAAGATTGATAATCAACGTAGGCAATGCGCGGTTGTCGGCTGCGATGAACCTCTCTGAAGTAATCATCATCCTCTTCAGATGATGAAGAACTCATGTATTCTCCCTTGATGTAATCTTTGAGTTGCTTTTCAAATGTATTATCTGAATAAGTCTTTTTCAGTTTTCGAGATGTACGTTCAGAACGGTACTGTGGTTGTTCCCTCTCAAATGGCATGCGGTGACGTGGAGGAGGTGTTTTCCCTTTCCTTGAGCCCCCATTCCTGCCGTTATCCGATTGTCTCCCATTTCTTTGATGCCCATTACCATTACCCCGTTCAAGTGGGCAATTCTCCTCTAAGCGCCAGTCTTCTGGTCGAGCATCCTCCACCCACATATCCTTTGGTCGTCTACTGTCCATCCTCCGATCGTCTTGTCTTGTAGGCTGCATTTGTCGTTCATCTGGCCTTCTGTTGTCATACGACCTTGTGTCAGATCTTCTACCATTTCGTGAATATACATCTTCTTGCCTCCTCTCCATTCTTCGATCTTCATCATTTGATGACGGTGGTGGTGGCGGCAGCGGCATTTGATTTCCAGGGTGTCCTGGAGGATGCCAACTTCCATTCAACTTCTGATCCTGTGGTGAATTGATCCTTTGTTCCTTAGTACTTGGATACACTGGCAGTCCATCACCTCTTTTCCTTTCTTGTGGAGGTGGTCTTGCTCCGCCAACAGTATTTGTGGCAGTTCTCATTTCATTGTTCCTTCGTAATTCATAATTCTTTGGTTGACTAAACCTTTCCGCCCATGGATCATGTCTGGAGGAGGATGGTCTCCCACCGAGACTCTGAGACGATCCACTCCGTCTACGATCAGAAGCTGACAAATTTCTGTAGCTGTCCTCTCTCCTGTCTGCAGGACCAAAACTGTTTCTCCTTCGCTCCTCCTCCTTGGATGATTTACGGAGGTCTGGCAAAGATGTTCTAGAGAGTCTACTGGAATTCTGGACACTTCTTACAGTCTGTTCATCATCAGTTGCTGATATAATCTGATCGAGAATCACATCATTAACATGAATTGGCTTCCTACTACGACTTGTTCGCAAATCCTGAGTTTTGCTTTCATGATCTGACTGAGTGCCGCTCTTTTTCAGGATCTCTCCACGACTGCAAGAGCTGCTACAGTAAATGAGTCCGTGTTTTGGAAGGAACGGTCGTCCAAGTAACGTGACCCCACATGTGTAGCATTTAAAGCACTTCTCTGTTGCATGCCAATGTTGTCCCTCATGAGACATCTGGCCCTGATCGACACCAACAGGCTCACCGCATGTGTCACAATACTCCGAGAACATTGACTCAAAACAGTCACAACAATATGGACGTCCTGCTCGCATGATGTACCGTTCACCACCAAGTTTTTTGTCGCACTCAAAGCAGCAGAAATGCTTTATGTGCCAGCTTCGGCCTTCTGCTTCAGTACACTCCTCAGCAAAGATAATCTAAATGTGAAAATACAAAATAAGACATTATAACATCTAATAAGACCTCAAAATGTGGGTGTGTGTGGTATGGGTATGCTTTGTCTGTTCATGTGAAGTGATGTGTGGCAAAGGCAAGCCAAACCAGACACTTGTTGCAAATCATGTTTCAGAGATAATGGCCAAAACATGCTGGAATGTCAAAATCTTTGAAATCTATTTTACTGCACTAAACTAACCTCTATATATCTATATATCATACTACGTTATTATTTTCTCCATTTTCAATGTTAAAACAACATTTTTTAACTATTTGGTAATGGTTTCTGCCTGAGAAATGCCCGAAATTGTAAACTTTGAAGGATGATTTCTCAAATATTGTTCTTTAAACAGCTGTATGTTTAAACTCATGTAACTTTGTGTAGCAGAACGTCGGATTTAAATGGTTCTTTTACCATTTTATAGCTCTCATTTTACTGTTTAACCCTTCAATAATAACTAAAAATAAATTTTTGAGAGGAGTGACTGGTTTGGCTTGTCTTTGCCACTTATTATGAACATGTACATAAGCCATTTTGACCCACTAAGTTCTTTTACCTCATCACAAGCACAGCATCTTGGCTTCAATGATTCTGAATGGTGTCTGCCACAGTACAGCTTTCCATCTCGATAGAAATAGATCAGATCCACCAGGAGTTCAGTGCATACACAACAGATGAAACAAGCTGGATGCCAACATGCATTATGTCCAGCGCGTGAAGCAAAAACAGCAATCTCACCACCATGGATTCCACCACCGCACTGTTAAAATACAAAACATAAGTACCATTAGATCAGGTACCTTAAGAGTGGAGGTGTGGCTTGGTGGTTTGAATGCTCATCTTTCAAAAATTTAAGTTCAGTCCTGGCAAAAATTGAGGAATTTCCCAAAATCAAAACATCTGCTTCCCAAACCAAATGAAGCGCACAGTGGGTCACACATAAACAGCTCTCGACTCTAAGCCTCATAAAGAGATTTGGTTTACATAGATTATGTGTCCCAAAGCCACATAAAAAGGCTTGGTTATAGAGCATCAAGGGTCCCTAATGATCACTGGCGCGGATGCAAGATTTGGCAGTAGGGGGTGCGTGCGAGTCGACACCACCTTAACTACACCATGGTTGGGGGTGAGGTGAGAACATTTTGAAAATGTGGATCTCCAGGTGCCCGGAAATTGCCCCCTCATACAGTACCTTAAAAATCTTATCGGTACTAGGCATACACTATGTCCATATCAACAATACAATACAAGAATTATTTTTCTTAATACAATTTAAGGGGGTGCGATCGCATTGTCTGTACCCCCACTGCATCCGCTCCAGGATCAGCTTTCATCGATGGATCATCCATTTCAAATGGTTACAACAAATTCTACTCGCATATTGATTGTAATTTTGAGATTGAAATTGGAGTTACATATCAATTTCTATCAATAATTTTCTGTGATATATGATAATGCTATCCATTTACCTAACCATAAATCCATTCATCTTTAATCTGCAGTTAAGCCACACTGTTGTAAATGTAACAGAAATTGGACACCAAAGTTTGAAACTAAAGTATATGATTGCAAACTGATACCAATATCAAAGTACAGTACTGCTGCACTTGGAACAAATGTGTTACTTGGCACAGATGTGTCATATACACTTTAAATCTACTGATAGATTAAAATGTAACATATATAGTATATTGAACTTAAATATAACAATTTGGTTATATTGTAACTTTATGGTCTGGAGAAATAATATTTGTATAAAAACCCAGCTCATGCATACAGTATTTATGATAAAAGTAATGAGGCCATGAAGGTCAGTGTCATTATGAGCTAATATCATATAGACCTGTGGGGAGTGATTGCTATAACAGAAGCCAATATATAATCAAAATGCCTGCCCCAGGGAAAATATTTCCATGCATAATTGTAAACGACTTTCTTTCTGAATAAAATACAAAAAATGTAAGGATTCTATATTCTTCAACAAAATAAGTATTTATATAAAACACAAAATACTGACTCATTTAAATCACAGAATTAAGTTGCATTTTCATTACAATAAGAATGTCTCCATAATATTACACTTTAGAATCAGTCATGTCAACTTTATTTGTGTGTAAATTCAATATTTTTCTTGACCGATTAACAATATAAATAATTTCAGTATAATATACCCATATCTTAGTAGCAAAGTTTGAAAACCACAAGGAGGACTGAAAACAACATGGCTGAGTAATATTTGAAGAGAAACCAAGAAATTTCTACATGTGTCTAACATACACTGTCATACAAAAGATTGCGAAAAATGGCGAGATTTGGTAAAACGTGATGATGATCTTAGAAGAACTGTGGGTTAGTCATTATATCAAATCCTATCAAACCTTGAACCAGTGGGAGAAAAACTCCCCAAAAATGTTCTCATGAGTACTGCATTACCTGGTAACAGACACACCCTGCTAGAGTGAGTGGTAGCGGCCGTGCTGTTCCCCTACCGAGAGCTTCTCGCTTTCTCTGTGAACTGAACAGACGCAACTCTTTCTTCTCTTCCTCACTTAATCCATTACAGTAACGCATTTCATTGTCATGTGGGGGCAGCTGCTGTAGTAAGGAGCGGATACGATATTTCTCACCGGAACTGTTGACAAAAGGCCTCTTCTCCTCTGGCAGTGAGCACATGTACTGGTGGACCTATAGAAGAATTAGAGACTGATATTGAAATTTATTCCTTGCATTAAAGTATTTCAATCACCAAAATATTTTCTGAGCACTACACCATTCTACTAAGTCTTATAATGACCTATTTATTAGATGAGGTGTCATTTTTTAATTTCTCTAACTTTGACTTTTGAACTTGCTACCCATAAATTCCACCCCACTTAATTTTATGATGATCCATTCACTACTGTTGCACAATTTTGCAAACAAACAATCAAACAAACAGACACACATGAATGAACAGTGTTCTCATAGCACCATAAAAAAAAGAGGAAAAAGAACAACTTTTTCCAGAACTTTAAAGTTGTTTGGAATTTGAAATACAAATCTCTAGTACTTTAATGATTCATGGCTTCTTTACTACTATCAATAAATTATACATCACTGCATGTAACCACCTTTATGTCATAATATTATTATTCCTTGCCAGAAACCTATACATACCAGAAACATCAACCTAACATTAAAAACATTACCTGTATGTTATCACCAAGACCAAAGCAAAGCAGTCAAAATTGACCTAAAATGTAATGCATGTGTTTGAAATTTCAGTAATGTACTGTAACAGAAAAGAATGATCAGTTTCTGTATGTTCAGTATTAATGTAGTAGAATGAAAGGAAGTTAAGGATTGATTGGCTGAACAAAGATTGTCTCAAAACATTCTGAATTATGTAGGGTAATTTGTTGTATTTTTCTTTACAAATTAGGAATAAAATAATATGTGTTTTGTCAATAGGAAGGCAATGCATGTCTTAAGTGAAATATGAGAATATTTGTGTGAATTAGTGCAAATGTATGCAGGTGTGTTGTGAATGCGTTGCTGTCAAGTCGCAACCTGAATTACAGTAATGTGAAAGTCTAAAGGAGCAGTGAACAGGAGGTACTCAAGTCTGTTGTTGTCCTTGCCCATTAAGATAGTCCCTTGTTTATCATACATCGAGATAAGACTCTGCAGTAGCAGTGACTGATTATACAGAATACTGTATGTCCAACAAGCTTACAACATGACAACTCATTTTAAAGTAAGCATTGATCTTTAAGAACCTGGCTCTAAGGCCCTTTCCAGTTTATAAAATGTTGACAAATCATATGAAATCCCTTAATACAGTCATGATATAACCAGGGAGTTGTCTATAACAACTCCCTGATATAACCATATATAGGCACATCATGAATATATATGGGCATACAGTACAACAGTATTTTGTCAAAGAAAATTTGATAGTATGGACAGAATTTTATACTGTACTACACAAATATTAAGGTAACAGATAATTTAAGGGGGTGATGTAATGCCACCGGAAATATTAGACTTATTAAGCCAAACCTGTGGGTATTAGCACCCTGGTATTTAAGTTATTCCACAGTAGCAATTAGTAAATGTCTATGGAAGCCTAAGCAATACACATAGAATACCTTCGGGCACCCCCTTCCAATCAAATACATATTTTTGTATTCATGATCCATAACTTCAAGACTAACATATTCATTGAATTTAGCTATATAGCATATATTAATGCAATGTTTATTTGTTGAATTTACATAAATATTGCCAATATAAAAAAGTAGGACATCTCTTGAATACAAATTATGTTGAAATGTGTAAAATTGTCCCTTTTTGTATGTAAAGTAAGACGATTATCGGCTTGGTTTATGATTAACCTATTTTTTACAACACACTCAGGCACAGTGGCCTATAATGCATTTCGTATAAGATTCTTTCTTATTTTCCCGTTACGGTACTGTTAGTAGGGAGCTATCAATTTGTGCGACAACGCGACGCTAGAACGGAATCACCTGGCATCCTATGTTCTCTGCATACGTAGATTTGGCCAAATTGCATTCCAGAATTCTCGCATGCGCAGATGACTTTCAGTGACGTCATTACATTCTATGTCCTACCGTCGTCGCGCAATTGAAAGCCCCCTAATGTTAGGAAGGCCTACCATGAACATTCTGGCCATGTTCTCACACGGCAGCTAACGGTTAGCAGGATTCGGATCCTGCTAACCGGTAGCTGCCGTGCGTCCATGCGAGAAAATCCTGATCCGGATACCAACAATATGATGATCGAATCACTGGCCAATAAGAAACTTAAAATTGTAAACGCGTACGTGTGATTGGTTGATGATAGAAATGCCCTCAACTTGCTAACCGATAGCGCTTGCTAACCGTTAGCGGTATCCGGATACTGTTAACCGATCGGGTGTTCTCACGCAGGTGCTAACAGTTAGCTCCTGATCCGGATACTAGGGCTCTTGTGAGAACCAGGCTAACCACTTGGATGAGAGACCAATCCTAATTCTGGTACCCAATGTATGAAACACAACATGTAGTCTACTTCCTCTGATGCCTACAGTAGTTCCAAAAGAAACTTGAAAACAGCTCTTCAATGATGTTCTTGAATATTTTTATGAGTTTTAATAATATTTATTAATATTAAAATTGTAGTTTTTAGGTTATATTCTAATATTAGTTAATTAATTGTTAAAATAAATCCAACTAAACTAAAACCCAAATATGTTGGATAAGTAATGTTACATTTATGGTTCTATTTTCTCTCTATCTTGTTGTTAGGCGCCTAGAGGCTCGGGTTGTGACACTGTGAGGCACTACTGTACACAGTATAAATCCAGAATTAACAGAAGATATTCTTATCATTATTTTTTAATGCTACACAGAAAAGACCCACATTAAACATAGGCTACATTCTGAATAATTAGCATACTACTTGGTATTAAAAACGTGTTTTATAGGTTCCGCTGGGCATTCAATATGGTAATTAGAAGTGTACTGTAAGCAATGAGAAGTTGAGTCACTGGTCATTATTGTCTGAAATGTGCTTTCATGAGTAATGAATATGAATTCCTTAAGGTGCAAGATGGACAGTCTACAGCCAAATATCCTAGTCTAATGTATGTCTGCATTCACACAAATGCCACATAAACAGCACATATATTGTCATTATGCTCAATTTTGTTCAATATAGCTGTATTACAAATACAATTATGCTAAGGAAGGTTCAAAATATTTTACCAATTTCTATAGTCTATCACTACTATATTTACTAACTACAGTATAACTGCTATTTTAATGAAGTATTTCTATCCCTTTATATTTTAGCTATAATAGTAATAGACAGGCTTTAGACAGGCACTCACTGTGAACAAAGATTTTCAGCCGACGCTATTTTATGGAGAACGCAATGTCAGGACGCGCACTGTTAAGATTGACACCTGCAATCAACAGACGTCGCGTCCTCTAATGCTCACAAAGAGAGGAGTTGGATAAACTAAGTGTCATATCTTTTTGTCTGTAGTGTAAGTAATATTATAATAATCTATTGTTAACAAAAAAATAGTTGCTGGGAAAGAAGCATGTTATTTTGGTCATTTTTTCCTAATGGTCTTTTAATGATGTTCTTTGGAATGTCTTGTGAACAGGCCAATTGGTAGTCACGACCATGATTTACACGATATCAAGCTTCATTAAATTCTCAATGTGAAGCCAACCGTTGAAATTTAGTTTTCCAGCATAGGACAACGTGAATTAAACAGGTTTCTATTAAAGACATTGCAAAATCTTCCATGCAAGTGATGCAGCGGCATATTTACGGGAGAGCTTGGGGAATGGGGTTGTGTTTGGCGCAAGACCCTTCAAAAAAATGTTTGCGAGTTCTGCACAATGTATGTCTAGTATGCTGTATCTCTGGTATTGCAATTTTTTTTCATTAAACGTACTGTGTAATACCGAGTAATCAATAAATTAAATTTTCAAAATGTCATCAGTTAGTTGTAAACAGGTTCATGACTAGTCAGATATTGAACTTATTACGGTCTTCTATGATCTCTATGGTGATTAAAATATGTTCAAATAGAGTGTCCTAACTACAACAATGTTCAAGTGTAATAATAGTCAATATCATAAATTATCAGATCTGACATTGACAATGTTAATGCTAGTTGCTTAGCGATGGACAATAATATCATTAACTTATGATCTCTGCTTTGAAAATAAATCAATACAAAATTTAGATAAGGGATTTGAGACACAGATACTCACAAGTTAATCCAATACATACTGTACCTACAGTAGCATGTTACTTAAAATACTGTAAATGTGATTTGATTCATAAATATTTGAACTAAAAGCTACCAAGCAAGCCTGAAGTACTGAACCCCATGTCCTACAAAGAAAAGTAAATATTTGATCAATGTACAGTAACATCGTAACCACAGAAAATGAACTGACCTAATGAATATGAACCTACACTATGCCAGTGGACAACCAAGTGCATCATGCAGTGGAGTCACTGTTACCCTATACTTCTCAAAGTTAATTTTCGTTGAACAGAACTGCAAATGTATCGTGAAATTTGGTTCTAGGCTATTCTTCTCTGGCGACGTTTCCCAGCTACTGTACAATTCGCAATATTTATTGTGAATTTCTACAATGTAGATATAATATGTACAAGATGTTACTCAATAGGAATACTTAAAGATATTGTCAGCAAAAAGATAAATACACTAGTTGAAAGCTAATAAAAATTGAATTATACATTTACACAATTTACGCATAAAAATCTTATTTAATTCTTAAGTGTATGATTTAGTGTTAATTATTTTTGTAATCCTTCACCGAGAGCACATACAATGCTATAATTTGTAAACTGTATTACTGGAATGTATCAAGGGAGGTGCTAATCACCTCTCTGGAAATACATAGAAGATAACATGCCAAATTGCCAAAAATATATCAATCATTAAACCAAATCAAAATAGACATTAAAAACAGGCAAAGCCAATGGCATATAACAGCATGCAATTACTAGTAGTCTGGGGGTTAAGATGCTAGACAGTCTGACGATAAATATTAGAAGCATAGCCAAAAGGTTGATGCTACACTAATCAATAATTCAGTACATGTTCTGAATATTAATATCCAGAGAAGGGAGGGATTGCATGTATGCTAAATAAACAAAAAAAAATACAGAATTTGATTAAGGTACTATATAACCTTTGAGAGTGTGGGTTTGACTTGTTTTCATATTGCAATAATGTTTCTCAATCTGCCCTTTGGCAAAACAATTTATTTTATTCTGTAAACAAAACATTTCTTTTTTGGACAGGTGTTCTTAAGGAAACATGAAACAGATCCAGGCAAGTAAGTGTACTGTCACCAATCAAGTATGAGAATATTTTCCAATTTAAAAAAAAAATTAAGATGAAATTTGACACGCATAGGTATTTGATATTACCACATTGTTTAGTGTTACTGTTTATAATTTACAGTATGCTATACTGTGCTGTATGAGAAATAATACAGAACTGAATGATTACATAAATTGAATGAATGAATGAATGAACTATGGTACTATCTGCTTCTCTATACAAAGCAACAACACTTTCATGTCATCTTCCACTATGGAGGTTTCCTTTTAACAAATTTGGATTCCAGACTTAATTGTCAGATTAAAAACAATTCAAAGACTCATTTTCCTAGAAGCCATCGTCACTGCATCGCATCATTAAGGAACTTGATGTCATCAGGAGGTAATTGCACAAAGGTGTGGAAACTGATCCTGTTGCAATTGGTAATTAACGTATGACTATGACTCTCAATTCCATGCATCAATATGTGGTCAAATGATTGATTCCAAAATGTGCAGGCCTCATAATTCAACAATGTCAATGTCATATTTTTGCTTCCACTACTATTACACTACAGGATAATACCATGTTCCTGAGCACAATTTTCTTACTGTTTATCAGTAATCATCATCAATTTATGCAAATTTTATATACAGTACTGTATTCTATTGGCTATCATGCATTGAATCATTTGAATCTCTATATTCACCTCTAATATTCTGTTCAGTAGGAATTTTGATTGTACCCTTTTTTTTATACTGTACTCCAGGATGTTATTTTTGGGAATGTGTGGTAAACAATTGATAATTGATTTAATTCAGGAATAACTGATATTTCATGTACAAAATAACAAACACAAACATCAATTGAACTAGTAACACAACAACTAGAATAACTCAATCGTAATTGCCAAACACAGGTACTGTAGGCTACAACCATGGACGAATTCCTCCATGCTACAGTACAAAACTACCAACGCCACCAACAACATTATTACCTGTTCTGCTTTGAGCCCAGGTGGCATCCAGGTATATTCCTCCAGGACACAGCCACTGTCATCATCCGATGCGGAGCCACGTTGGAAGTCTTGGATCATCCGGCTGACCGTCCTTTCTTGGTCATTGGCCATCACCCGATGATCTTCCCTGGGACATTTGCAATGCAGGCAAATTTTCCTGAAACGATAAAGTATGAACACAGGATACATGACTCTGTTTGTTGCAATTGTACTGTATTTCCAGTATTTTGTCTTACAAATGATAACATTAACTATGAAAACATTTTTAACAACATGAATTATTATGGTTGAGTATTATATACCAACTACTGTATGCCAACAATATACAGGTATGTGAGGCTTTATGGAGTATGAAACTTTTGTTTATAAAAAAAAAAATTGACATAAGAATGAACCTAGAACCTTGGGATTGGAAGGAGAGCATCTTAACTAACAAACCACAACTCTTCATACTGTTCACGTCACTATACTGACATTAAGCTAAAGTAAACTTATTTAACACATAAAAACGGGACCTCTTGGCGCTTGCATTACTGTATTCTATTTTACTCAATCATTACATCATGCAATTCTGTATAATTACAAGAGTTATTGTTGTACTCATAAAGCTGGGCCAGAGCAAAATGTCTCCTATATAAGCCATTTCAGATCAACATGGCACTTAACTACCTTGCATCCATTACCAAACACTACAGTATGTTAATCGCATCGCTGCCTACCATGAAGAGAGAGGGAGAGAGCTAGAAAAAATAGATTTACAGTCAAATCCTAAACTCTGTAGTTATAACCAAACATCAGCATCAGTTTAATTAAAATAATATAAAATTATATCAATTTATAGTCCAAGTAGAAAATTCATACATGAAGAGTAATTTAACTCACTAGCAAGCTCGATTTCCTTAATAGAAATGATCCATTAACTTAGAAAAAGTTTTTTTTTCCAAAAACTTGATATACAGTCCAACATAACATACTTTTAGCCCAGCACTCCTGTTTCGCGCATTCTCGTCTGAAATACCGGCTTCTACAGACTGCTAAACCCAAGTTATGTTTATCCTATTAAAACATAAAATAACCCAAGATGGAATTATCCTTGATTGCGGCTTAACACCGATTCCCTTTGTTCTCTCCATTTTTTTAGCTCCTTCAATCTCTGCATGAATGACCCCAAGACTTTATCTGGTGTATCCATGAAATTAAAAAAACCACCACACAAGACAATGGAATGAGGTTTGTTTACTCCACATGGAAAAAGGGAGACTTCTACCGTGTGGAAACGTAAAAATAATCTTTGTCAAACTTCATCTCAACTAATAGAAAAAGAACAAAATATTTTCAACTGAGTGGAATTATACAAAATGATATAATTTGAAGTAAACTTAAACGTGATGTAGATTATTCTACGTGGATTGATGCGGGCAAAAGCAACCACTGACACAGTGTTTCAACCAATACTGTATTGTTCCAAAACCCTTCAAGATTTACGCTGAGTGAAGTAATGTAATAATGGATGGTGTAATCCAATGCAACGAAGCCCTCGAGCCATTAGAGATTAGAGAAAACTACCGACTTTACAGTATATATTTTGCTGTAACGAAGTAACTTTAAAAATGAGAAATGTTTACAATATGTAAATTAAATCATATTATTAATGTCTTATTAAATGATGATAAATAAAACTAATACTGTAGCTCAAACCATACTTTATTATATTTATTATATAATAATTAATTATTTCATTCTACTATCTCAAATGTAAAATCTACAGAACACAGACTTCATATTCTCTACAATTTGGTTAAACTGAGCTCTGTTTTTAGGCAGGATTGTTTAGGTTATTTACAGGTTTTTTGATGACAGTACAATCAAAACTTAAAACAACTTATGTAAGATTAAAGTAAAGCCCTTTTGGCCTAAAGAAGTTCGCAGAAGGAAAGGTCGAAATAAATAGGTACCTGTTTGAGAAATTAACAGCACTGTATCTAAAAAAATTGCTTTCTCCCCTTTAAATCGCAGAATGTTTTAAAGTAAAAAACATTTATGAGACCCAGTAGAATTTAGGTAAAAGCATGAATTGTTGTTATTTACGATCCTACAGTATTCCTTTCAACAACAAATTAACATAAAATCTTTAAAGTAATTTTTATGAAGCATGTGACACAGGGGTTTCGGTCATGAAAAAAGGGAATTTTTAGAAGTCTTGAAAACAAGAGGAAAAGAACTACCAAGCTACATCACTGGTACATATAATACATTCCTTCTGATTTATGTTACTGTATTTTGGATTTTAGACTGAGCTGTAATATTCTTTAAAAGTATCCATTCTGGCTTTTATGTTGTTACATGTGATCATCACTTAAAAGCTCTTAAATTCAATTCAATAAAAAGTAGTTCCGTAAACATGTAATGACTATCCAACTTTGGGATGTGGCCAACTTCTACAGATTAGTAGCCATAGCAACCTACAACAATAAAAGCAACATGTGTTGCTTTTGCTTTTTAATAAAAGGAGGTCAACGATATTTGCCATAGATTTAATTACATCACATGTGACAAAAGGCTACTTTGTTTCAAAAAAATTGGACAGAAGAATTATGGGAAGTATCTAAGTACTGAACAGTTGCTAGATATGGGATGCTAGACCAAAGAGAATTGTATGTGGAGGAATCAGCTGTGTACTATTCAATTCAACCAAAGGAGAGACTTTCTTATGTCCTGTTTCACAAGCTTATTTTTTTTAAGATCATCAGATAAGGGCAGAAAAAAAAAATAGAAATAAATTTTGTTTTGTTAATTAATTTAGCAAATACTTTTGACAAAAACATCCAGACAGAGAAAATAAAAATTAAATTTTATTGGAGAATATAAACAGTGTAGTAAAGGGTTGGTTAAATGCTTTAATTTATAAAATTAGGAAGAAATGTACATCTTAATTTGAAGATTTTAAGGCAGCGGCAGGCAATTCTTTGTGGCAGTACAGTAGGTGCACTAATTGGCCAAAAATGAAATTTTATTTTTGTTTGAAATCATTATTAGCGGGTGGCAAGTTGGCTAAACAAGGTATAAAGGAAGACTTTTCTAAAAGGTGTTTTACCTTAAAAATTGCCTATGAGCCAATGTTGGGCGATAAGCACAAAAAAAAAGATAAATAGCTGAAACAAATTGGAAATTTGTGGCCCAGCACCATTCAGGTTTTTGAATCGGCTTGAGGCAATCATTAAATCAACATGTATTCACTCATTTTTAAAAGAATACAATTAAATATAAAGTAAATATGAGGAATTATTTATGTAAATTGAAAAAACAAGAACAATCAGTTTTCTTAATCTATACTATCCGTAGGCATACAGTACCACCACAGTAGGTAGAATTAAAAAATGGCTAATTTTTGCTGAACAAGATTTGGTAGGAAAATCTAAATGTACAGTACTACAGTATTTAATTTTTTTTTTTTTTAAATAAAAATATGCATACTTAATATCAATTTTTCCAAGGAAAACAACTAATTAGAACTTAATGGAACACATATTCCAGGTAGGTAATGTATGTTATTGTATTCACCTGCAAGCTATAGACAGCAAGTCCATTGTAATAAGCATCATTACTATACTGCTTACATTTTTAATGCCTGATTTCTGAATCAATATCACAACTGTCAAGTTGATGTATTTCAGTCTGTCAAATGTAGGTCCGACAGACGGATAAAATTACATTTAACAGAACAGATTCAGTGTTTAATAATCATGTAATTATTTAAAATGCAATATTTACCAGCCTGTAAGTGGATGATGTGATGATGGTTTGGATACAAAGAAATAAAACAACATACACTGTAGAAAAACAAAGACTGATAGTTATGTGAATGTGACTTTAATAAGGTATTTAGGCCAACGCATACCATATCCTTAGGGGACAATTAAAAGGACAGACCAGGGCACCATGGGGCTACAGAAAAGTGTACTGTACATAGTTTGAATGATGGCATACAGAACACAAGTGTGGTACCTACAGTTTATCCTACAGTGTACTAGACATTTTACAGTTACATATTTTCATATTCATAATTTTATTTATCACATTTGAGATGGTAGCTGCTAACAAAAGGAAATCTTCCTGTACGCGTGTCAGCTACCATAGAAATCACTTAAAAATGCCGTATCAATAGGCGAAACGAGGCAAAAACATTATCTTATTATTTTATAATAATAATAATTGGAAAATTCAGTGGGAACCTAATCAAAATATTGATTCAGTACTTGAATTTACTGTAAACTTTTAGGGTAAAATGATGAATTTTAATGATCTGATCAATGGACTTAAATGTGAGGCTTGCCTAGAGTTGGGATTTTGTAGTAACAATCGTGACACTATTTTCCCTGAAAATAAAATTATTTAAAGCATATTGTATGACATTCAGTATATTTGTGTACCGGTAATCATCAGTGGTACTCTATATACAGTAGAGTATTTTACTAGTAATACTATAATGTACAGTAGATGTACAGTTCAAATAAACAAGGAAACTAAATGTTATTTTACTATCAGAAGACATACAGTAACTACATTCCATAAAACATGTTTTAAATAAACAGTTTAGTGACTCACAATGACCTACTATTTTACTTATTGGCTCACTCACAAAAAGGAATTCAACCATCTTTAGATTTTGTATGCAATTACTTATTATAGGAATGTACAAGCATGATTGTGTAACAAGATTCAGATTCTATTCAATTGAAGCACAGTATATGTGAAAACTGCTTTTACAAAAGAACTTTAAACTCCAGCTACGGATTGACAAGAGTTGTGCAACAACTGTTGATAAAAATGATAGGTTACTATAGAATGCCAAAGCTATCTCCTCCTACACAATGTTTAAAATATTTTGGTGACAGGTCTTTTTAGTTCTACTCCACGGATCCTCTTCATTTCATTGTTCATTGGTTCTTCTGACTAACCATCCAACAATGACAACAGTTTAATGATGGCAGACTCAATTGACGTGGCTGATACTGTATCCATCTATAGAAAACGAGCAATTAATTGGTTTGAAAAGATAAAATCCTTGAACGAAGGGGTGTCATTGATATAGTATCTGATCGGTCGTTATACCCAAATACGTACATATGTAGTATGAATAATTTACAGTACACTTTG